CATGAACAATATCTACAGACTATGCAGAACAGACAATCAACCAGCCAAAAAGGGAACAAAAAGACCTAAGCACCTCTCCATCAACAATCAGCATCTAGATCAGCATAGATTAACTCCAAGATTAACATCAGACCAACAATCAAATAAACAATACCTCCACCAAATAACTACGAAACAAGCCAACTGTAAACAACTCAACCAAAGAACCTCTAACCAACACTCCCACCAAAACTGATAGGGCAAACCACTAGAATATAAACTGAGATCAAATTCCATTCCTTACTAGCACTGATGATGTTAATAAGTTTGGATAATGAAATGTCTGCAAGCAAACAACCAAGCTCGGAGAGCACCAAGGACTTCTCATAATAATCAGTTCAACAGCAAGTCTAACTTACCTTTTGTCGTGGTTGATTTGGAGATGTAACCACCACTGTATTGCAGATTGTCAAAGCTATGAAAAAGTCAAAGATGTCTGAAAGTTCAGGGGACAGTTGGGATAATGGTTGATCGGGATTTCGCAGGTATTTTGCACATTCTTTTACTTTTTGTAGCAAATTAGGATCAGGTGTGATATCTTTTTCCTGGAAGAAAAAAAAATTGCAGAACGAACAGTTTGCAAATTGCTGGTCATCTGCTATACCTTCCCAAATCTCTAGAATGTGCTTGTTTTGCAAATGGGCTGTAACTTCAATAATCCCATTTATCTTTGAGCAAATCGTTTCTCTCTTATTCAGAGGATGTTGTGATCCAACTCCGGTCTTAACAAGTAAGGGTTTGTTTTTTGGGTTGTCCATTAAAGAGTAAATTTTTATAAGGATAGGGAATCACTTTTAAGCAATGTAAAAAACCACTACTTATGTTTTCAGTTTTATGAAACAAACAGTAATATTTATTCACTGGAAGTTTGTTTCAGTGCAATTGACTGTAGACATGCAATTTGTTATAAAACTATTTATAAACTAAACTGTCCCTGTTGGGCCTCATATCATATTGCTAGTGGTGTGTGTGTGTGTGTGTGTGTGTGTGTGTGTGTTTGTGTGTGTGTGCATGAATTTATTTATTAATTAAATTTGTTTTCCGCCCATCTCACTCCAAGGTGATTCTGGGCAGCTTGCAACATCAAAGATGACAGATTAGGAAAAGTTAAAAAAAGTTTTAAAAAACAAATTGTGCACTTCAGTGAGTGGTTAAAGAATCTGAGAATGTATAACATACAAAAAAGATGACTAAAAGGATATGATAGCAGTCTTCAAATATCTGATGGTTTGTCACACGTAAGAAGAAGAGCAGTTATTCTCTATTGCCCAGAGGACAGGACTAGCTAGGATCATTGGCTTAAAATTACAAAGAAAGTTGTTCAGTTCAGATTGTCACATACATAAAATGGTGAATTCTTTATTAAAGGTCTTGAAACAGAATCTGGATGGAATAGATGAATTCTAAGAGCCTATGATATTTGATTGAAATAAATTGATTTGACATAAAAACACAAAATAAACTAATAATTATAGATCATCCTTTTTCTATAATTTTATTAAAGATTTTTTTAAAAGATAGAAGTTTAATACTAACATAAATAAGACAAAGAAATTAAAGAGAAAAGTGCAAGAAATGAAAAGTAAAATAGAAAAAAGGAAAAAAGATAGAAGTAGCTTCTGATCCTCTTTACAGCCATTATAGTACAATTATAAATTTATCTCTATAGTACAATTATAAATTTATGGTTACAATATAACTCTCTTTTTTCTATAATCTATTTTGTCTAATCATCAAAATAATAAATCATGTTAATTTCTTTTTGTTTCACATAAAGGACTATATAGGGTTACAGCACATCCTTTATTAAATTGGGTTCTAGAGGTCCTACTGATTCCATAAGAGAAAATGAATCGATATTATTGGTTCACCAAGGGCAACTGAAAGTCCCATGTAAAATCAACCTAGGAAGAAGTAGCTGTGTGGTCCATGAGTTAACTATAAGTTGCTTCTTTTATTGTTGGCTTGTCTTCCCCATCATACCTTGTACCTACAATATAGAATGTAAGCTCCCAGCTGCATTGCAACTAGCTAGGAACTAAAGTTGCTCAGCTTCTGCATTCCTACAAAGACAACAAAACCAGAAAGTTGGTTTGGTTGACTGCTAACATGTTTCATGGGTCCTCTGGCCTGGCAAGTCATGATGTACAGGTTTAGTAAAACATAGTTGGATTGGGTACAATTAGATTAAAATGATGGTACTAAGGGAACAATTAGAATAAAATATCACTTTTCCATTCTTACTTACCATTGGGCTACTGAAAGCTGTATGCTTTGAAAGAATGCTTGCTCTTTTGGCTTCTGCTCTGCTTCCTGTTCGTCTATGAGATTTTACACTCTGGTTTCTGAAGGTGACTTTGATGCTCTGGTGACTACTAATGCTATCCCGCTGAGACAGTGTCCCCACTTTAGGTGAGGTTTCTTCATCTTCCGAATCAGCTTCCTGGTACATAGCTAAACGCTTTGCTTTTTTTAATGTATGGGAAGAAAATGTATATAAAAAATGAAAACATGAGGTTAAACAGGTTGCTATCAGATAAAAATCCACTAAGACTCTTAGCACAATCATCAGTTGAGATCTAAATATGAAACAATACTCTAATTTGCAAAATATTTCAGAACTTAGAGCTTAAAAAGTTAGTAGTCTTATACTACCAAAATATTTTTTGACCTCAGGAACACAGTCTTAGTAATTAGTTCTTTAGTTATTTCTCTCATTTGCCAGGTATATATCCTGGCATTGGATTACTTTGTCTCAACAAAATGCACAAAACTTTATTCCAGCCCCCTAAAACCTGCTACATTGCTGAAATTTGGTAGTTGAAATTTGGTAGTGCATACAGCTTCCCAAATTATTTGTCATAACTGCTGTAGAAGTTGGCATACAATGGCCCTAAATGGTACCCTCCAAAAACCCAATAATAAATTAAAATATTAATTAAAATAAAAAGGCTGAAATAATACAATACTAAGTCTTGTTAAATTTCATGATGCTTAGATGATCACTGAAAGCTCATGGAATTTTGTGAGATCACAAGATTTTAGACATCTTAAAATATTTTTATATTTTTATACCCATGCTATCACAACAAATTTATGCAACAGTGCCTGAAAAGTTGTTGGACTCTGAAGTACAATTACTTTCCTATCCATAAAAAACACCCCAAATTGCCACCATCTTATGTTATCATCTTGCATTACCCCCACAACCTCTGTGCTTTTGAAAGTTCCTCTTGTCCACAAGCAAATTGCTCCCCTCTGCATTAGATTATACACAGCATGTTTATTGATAAAATGGGTGTATATGTATTAATATGTACCCAGATGTTGCTAGTTTCCAGGAAAGTAACATTACAGTAATTGCATATTTCATTAAGCAGTAATTGCAAAATGATGAAACAACAAAAAAAAATCTCAACAAAACAAAAATACAGGAATCTGGAGCCAGTGAGAACTTTGAACTATTATAATCTTTAGAACCAATGATTAATACATGGAGGATAAATGTCAGTGCAAAACACCACATAGTTGTGAGTTTGCACTAGTGATTTAAGGATAATGCCAGTGGCTTAGAGTAAGTTCCAATTCCATTCTGGCTATTTATATAATCCTTCTTATTTAAGAGGAACTTAAGTAACAGAGCTTGTATAGAGCCCAGAAATCAGTGACTCATTAGCATACTGATTATATGGATGAATGATCTGCTGACTCAATCAAGAACTCAATTTATGATACAGAAAAATCTTACTCCATTATTTATTTCTTTGTCTTAGAAAGTCCTGCATGTAGTGCTAAAGAATAGCTACATCATTAGGCAAAGTGGGTAATCAGGCCTAGTTTCCTGAACTACATTATTGTTGGAAGACACACCATGTGTCCTTGAAGCTCAGTCTATGTCTCCTAAATTAGTCTGCTGACCTAAGGTAAGTTGGAAGCCACTAATGTTACTGATATTGAAGTAGGATTCCTGAAGAGAATGATGTTTCCCCATCCTGATGATGTTCCTTTAAAAACAAATATTTAAAAATTGGGCTGTTCTTCCAGGCTTTGGAGTAGGGTGTTTGTAGAATACTCTTGGTGCTATCTTTTGTCTGAAGGAGTATGTTTATCCAGAATGGGATTTTCTTTTTTTCTTTTCTATTTTTAAATATATACCACCTAAAGCAATTCTGAGCTTGAATGGCCTTCAAAACATATACTGCAAATAAACAAATAAAAAAATGTCTTCTTGTACTTCAACTTTTGGAGCTGTGGGTGCTCCAACACTGGAGGCTTTTAAGAAGAGATTGGACAACAATTTGTCTGAAATGTTATAGGATTTCCTGCCTGAGAAGGGAGTTGGACTAGAAGACCTCCAAGGTCCATTCCAATTCTGTTATTCTGAAACTTAAGATAGCAAAATATCTTAAACAAACCATAATAATAATGAGATTCTTATTACTGGTTGCTATAACACTCTTGAGACTCTGCCATGGGCTAAACGAAGGATATATTTGAGTTACAAACATAAGCCAGAAGCCAAGAATAGACTGGAGGGCTGATAGGCCTAAGAACAAGGGTTAAGGGAGGGGACATCAGTAAGATCACCCAAGGAGAGCTGCTCATAGTAACAAATTATATCAGGAATGTAAATATGTGCTTAGTGGATGTTCCTGAATGACCAGCATCATCAGCCAGTTTAGCCAAAAGTGAAAGATGCTGGAAGGTGTAATTCACTTAAATCTGGAGTACCACAGGTTTCTCCTGGACCACACCAGATGATCATCTCTGTTTCCAATTTCATTTCCATCCCACTTCAACTGCATAGGGAACTATCCTGATGAGAAATGAACACAAATATTTTCTGCATCATCCAGATTTGTTTTATGATATTATACTGACGGGAGAGTGAACAATTTGGACATTACAGCGTAACCCAGATGAATTTTAATTGAGGATCAATTTATAATGACTAATTGAATAAAATAATCAGTTATTTAATTCAGTACATAGCTCCCTCCATTTTCTGGCTCAATGTGACAAGGCTATTTCATTCGGAAATAGCTCATAAAACCTAGTAAAGCCCATGAGAAAAATGTCTTTGCAGTGTGCTTCTTCCTAAGCTGTGTGGTATTATCTTGCAGTTTTATTTGCATGTAATCAAGAAGAAAAATAAGTCTATAGGGACTATTGAAAATAAACAGTGCATAAGGAAAAGATAGAAACTTTGTCAAGTATTATGTATACAGGATATTAAATTAAAATTAGCAATGAATAGGAAATGGTGGATCATAGGTCAATATAAACGTAACTCCCAAAAGTTATGAAAGCTATGAATAATTAGTTTGAAAAACATCACCAAACACTCTTATAAAAGTTCATTAGGGACTAAGATAGCCTCAAGTCGCTAGTTACCTATTTTTGGATTCACAAACCAAATAGGCAGAGTGTTAAAAGAATCTTCTGATCTAGACATTTGGAAATATATTTTTGTCAATTCTTGTGTAATTCAAAGTGTTCCAGATAACATTTGTATTAATTTCATTCACCTTGAGACATGCCAAAGTTTTATATTAATCTAATACAAGATAGAACTTGGTAGAAAATTTTTAATTGTTGGGTAAGCCTAAAAATAATTTCATCTTATTTGCAGAAACAAGACACATACTAGGTCATATTGGTAATTAAGATAAAGAAGACCTTAGCATCAATAATCGTTTTAACTTTGTTGAATAATCTACTATGGCCTGTTCACACACTGCAAACCCTGGGATACAAGCCACAATGTCTAGATTCACAGACTGCATGAAGCCTAACCTAATCCAATTCAACCCAATTCAGCATGGCTTAACATAATGTGTGGAAACCATTGTGGTGACCAATAATGTTATAGAAAGTTGGAACTAAAACTGAATTTTGAATGCTTCAATTCTTTGATTTGTTTGACTATCTTCATGGGGAACAGGTAGGCAAATAGAACTGAGTCACACTGGACTTTTCCCTCATACCTATTTAAAAGGGAAATAAATATATCAGGATTGACTTTCAAGAACTTTCCAACTATAAGCTAATAACTAACTAGAGTTAAATAAAAGAGTTTCAAATCCAGGTGCTTTTCTGAGAATCAGAACTGAATTCAGTGTCAGCTTATAGTTAGGTTTTCATTTTACTAATTGGGAAAAAGCTATTTTGTCATTGTTAAATAACAGATCCAAAATATTAATAGTATATATATTAATGCAGAAATGTATCAGTAAATACAGAAATAGATTCTGTCCCCTTCAGATGTAAGAAACAGAAGAAAATTCTGAACTGTGTTATGGTTAGTCTTTATATTTTCTTATTTTATCATATGTTACTTGAACATTGCTGATCATTTACTCACCATTTACAATAACCAATTGCTCCTATTCAACTATTTTACACTCGTGATGAACAGGTATGCAAGTGTTTTATGTTAGTATGCAAGTCTTTTAGAGGCCACCTTACCTCTATCCCTCATGTACTAGAGGGAAAGTGTTGTGAGAAGTTTGCTATAATTGTATTTTTTCTGCATCCTTTAGAACTTGATTTGCAAAGAGCCTACCTGCAATTCAGGCTCCTTGCTACATTTGTCAGCTATGGAGGGGAAAGCTAATTAGCACATCTTGACTCTTCCTTTCATTATATAAAGAGAAGAACTTTTGATTATATTATAATTAATTAAAGTTTCCATATTGATCTCTGTAGTTAAGTAGACCAGGGAGAAAGAAAAAGGAAACTGTGCACACTGTACAGTTGAAATGATTGAATACTGATTTCTTTATTATCAGCAAACTGACATAAATCTGAAAGGGCATCAAAATGCAAATATGTATGAATATAATCAATATAAAGTTTGACATTAAGATTAATAACTATGCAGGAACTATACTTGTGGGACGAAGGGGTTGTAGAAACATATAATTGTGACTATCTGTGTGATCAAAGCCCTGCATCTTTGTGCTGTGTGGTCACCATCTTGACTAATCTTTTAAACCTCTTTTATTCTTCCTCTTTTATTGTAAGCAACACACTTCACAACAAATAAACACTTTTTTAGGCATATAACCCTCCTAAAGACCAAATCACTTCTGTCATGTGAGATCTATACCTGAATTCTCCCTTAACATTTAAAAACAGCTATTACATTATTTTGATTGTGGTACAGTGTTGACTCAGAGCTGTTTCTTTGGAAGAAAATGCAGGCATAATACAGATATCTGTTTCCTTAAGTCTAGCATTTTCAAAGAGTCTGTGGGAGAGTTTGTTTTGGAAAAAGGAGGGAAGCAAACATTTTCCACAATCACGGCCTTGTGTGTAATTTTCTGGTTTATAACTTGCTAACCTAGACATTGCTTTCTTGAATCAATAATAACTAGCTGTTATGGAATATGCCAGGACTTTTCCATTATGTAGCATAGCAACCTTCTATAGACTGTTGCCTGTGTCAGTACACCTACCAGAAT